ACCCTAATCTCCAGCAAAACATTTTGTTTTTCCTCTTTCTCTCTCGTCGGTCCCTCTCTCCTTTTCCTTTCCTCCCTCCACCCATTTAGGGCTTTAATTTTTATTCATGGGGTGTGAAGGGGTTGAGACGGGGGTGTGGGGACAGGATCAGGATGGAAGGGGATAACTCCTTGAGCTGGGTCCAGGGCTCAGACCAGCGCTGGTGACAATGGCCTCAGTGTTGTGCTGGGTGTTGTGAGCAGGCCGTTTGGACATTCTTCCCCTGTCAGTGGAAGCAGATCTGGGAGGTAGCGGTGCCCGGGATTACCATCTCATTAATAGCAGCCATGACTTTTGTTCAAAGAACGACTTGTGTAATGTTGCCGTTTGGATGATGGGTAATCCGCTGAAGCTGCAGCTGTAGGGGAAACTGGCCACAAACACACACACTAACACACACACATTGTGGCTATACAATGTGAATCCTTTTATGAAAGAGGCATTGAAAACAAAACAAATTATAGAAGTCGATATCGACAGACAAACTGAGCATCTATCTATCTATCTATCTATCTATCTATCTATCTATCTATCTATCTATCTATCTATCCTTTTACACTTTATATTAATCAAAATCAACTTTGTATATTTATGTATCATGGTATCTATTATAGGGTAACACAATGGTTTTCAAGATTAATAATAAGACAATAAGTTTCTTGAGCACCAAATCAGCATATTAGAATGATTGAACCTATTGTAATTATATTTCAAAACATTCCTGTTTTTACTATATTTGTATCTTACTGTAACACACAAGAATTCTATCAAAAACATATCAAATGTTTTTAAAACATACACATTTTTACCCAACTTTTGAACTAGTGCATTTATTGGAAGTCAAATAACAAGAAGAATTGCTTGGAAAAGTAATACCTCTTTTCGAAAAGCCTTCTGATTTGATGTATCATTCATATCCAAAGCGGAACACAAAATAAATGAAAGTCAGTGGGTTGTTCAAAACAACATTCTTCAAAATATATTATTTTGTATTGTACAAAGGTTTGAAATGGTTTGGAATGACATCAGAGTGAGTAAATAATGACATCATTTTTTATTTTGGGATATATTGTCCCTTTAAAGATTTTTAATAATACATGCACAAACACACACACACACAAACATACATTTTCAGTCTGAGCCCCTGCAGCTCACTCATGTGGCTCTTGTAGTCTCTTTCACACATTCCTCTCTCCACACACACGTCGCCTGCTCTCAGATGGTGGCCCAGATTAAACAGAACAATACAGTCCAAACGTGATAAATGTGCATCTACTTATTCCTCTCTTTCACTCCCTCACTCAGTCCATCCATCCTCAGACGAGATGATATAAAAGCGAAATAAGCAGCCCATTCATTCACCAGTTATCTCTGTGGGCGTCTCGTCTCTGCGAGTGATGGGACTCCTTCCTCCTTCAAGTTCCCTCTTCTTTAAATTTCAAATCCCTCTATCTCCTCTTGTGGAAAACAGTGGGTCCACAAGGAGTTCAACCGATCCCTCGTCTGTTAAAACAACATGCTGTCTATCCTCTGAAGATCAGTTGTCTTAGGCAGAGAGGGGATCTGCCATTGATTCTGAATCAGATCTGAGCTTGGGTGGCAATCTAAAATACATGCATGTTTATCGAAATAGTATCTAGCCTGTATGTTTTAATCCAAAAGCCATCATTATATTGTCATACTTGAACTTGCAGAGCTGTGTGGATGGGGGAGGAGGGCAATTTATGAAGCCAAGGGCCCTATCATACAATCCGTGCAATGTGGCACCATGTATGATGTAAGTGTTTTTTGCTAGTTTTAGCCAAACACAGTTATCATTTTCACGTCCTGCGCCACATTGTTTAAACGCAAATGCTTTTGCGCCGATCTGTTCACCCATGCTGGTCTGAAATCGAGGCGTGCGTTGCTTTTTTGAGGCAACTGAAATAGACTGTGCTATTGACCAACAAAAACATGGTCTAAAGTCAATGGTGCAGTATTGTGATTTGTGATTTGTGATTTAAAGGGTGCATTAATAATATGAGCCTATAGGTGGGTCCACAACACACATACACTCTGCTTATTACACACACAGGGATGCGCAGCACACAAACATGCCAAATATCAAAAATAAAAGGATTACAATGTAAAATTTCATTATTGTGTACATAAAGGTATGGTGGAATCCGGCTTGTCCCGTAGATGGTCTGCTCTGGAGAAGCGTTCAATCTTTCCACTTGTGAACTCATGCAAACACATGCATACGCTTAACACTTGCATACACATGCAAACAAGAGGCTAATAAGGAACAGGTAATGAGTTGTCTTGGAACCAAACAATTCAGCTATGGAAATAAAGGCTAACAGGAACCAGAGATGGTCTTCTTATTGGGTGATACAGGGGTCTGTGGCTCTTCGAACTTGGTTAATGTGTGCCTTGATAACCAATCACTTTACAGCCTTGACTTCATTGAATTTCATTCCGATTTGTGCGACAGTCAATAATTATACCATTATACCATATAAATGAATGAGAAAACTGAATCATAGCTGTCAGACAATCGTCCGTGACTGCAAAACAGAATTTTCTTTTGTGTAAACTGAAAAATAGATCAATCCAAAACGAATGTTTAAGAGCAAGCATGTTGATAAGCTGGATTAGCTGACAGGCTGCCGATTCAGTAAATAAGTTGTTTTCCCAAGTTTGGTCAGTGTATGAAGCCTCTCTTCCATTGACATCCATTACAGTATTTTTTTTTTTTTTAAATAGCGCAGGGATAGAATGCATTACACTTTTTCTTTTTGGCCAAATTTGCAGGCTGGACTTCAAGTGTCTGTGCAATAACTTAACCACAGGAAAATAAACCTAGGCACAGCCAGAACAAAAGAATATAAAAATAAAAGTCCTAGACCACTAAACACAGTGGAACCGAGACACTAGCAAACTTTTAACAATCAGATCATAAACATTAGCCATGACAATTAAGACTTTTTTCAGTCCTATCCTATACTTCTAATATGTGTAGAAACTTTCTTTTAAATATTGTAATATAAATAAAAATCAAATAAATCAATTCTTAGATGATACACTCTAAAAAATGCTGGGTTGTTTTAACCCAATTTTGGGTCAAATATGGACAAACCCGAAATGTTGGGTTAAAAATGTAATGTAAAAATTTAACCCAACGGCTGGGTTAGTCCATATTTGACCCAAAGTTGGGTTAAAACAACCCAGCATTTTTTAGAGTGTAGATAGATAGATAGATAGATAGATAGATAGATAGATAGATAGATAGATAGATAGATAGATAGATAGATAGATAGATAGATAGATAGAGATAGATAGATAGATAGATAGATAGATAGATAGATAGATAGATAGATAGATAGATAGATAGATAGATAGATAGATAGATAGATAGATAGATAGATAGATAGATAGATAGATAGATAGATAGATAGATAGATAGATAGATAGATAGATTTTTATCAATCAGAAAAGATGGGCCAGTTTACTAAAAGGTTTTGAATTTCTCTTAAGTCAATTGAAGAGTCATGTGCCCCCTTATGGGCATGCAAGAGACACACATGCGACTACATTACCACTATTAGCATTCGGAAAACAAATGCAAACTGCTAATTTATTTACTCTTTATAGCAAGGTAGATATAAGTAAAATAACGAACTGCTTATATTTTCTCACTTTTTTTTTTTTTAACTATATTACTATTTTATTTTCAGTTAATTTTAAGAATTTTCTTCAATTTATATGAATCATCACACCACACAACTAGTTTATTTATAGGGGTAGCTAACATAGAATCAATTTTTTTTGTTTATTTATTTTAAATCGAAAATGTTACAATTTTCTGCAAATCGTGTGACCTGCCTCAGTGGATATTTGACTCCTTGCTCTTTTCGTTTGAGTGTCTGTTTATGATAAGCTAAGGTGTGTTTATTTGGCTTAACACGGATGTCACGTTCATGCTGTGTTGGTTTTGTGGCAGGGCTGTTGGACATGGGAGTCCTGCTGAGATGTCCGTGGCTGGGTCACAAGGTCTCTTCCCTCAGCATCCAACAGTTCCACTAATATTTAGTTATATATTTGTCCTGCTGTGCGACAAGCAGTTTGGCAAATTGAGACTCACCCTTTGTTTAGTAGCATTTTCAGGAACTTTTTCTCACAGAGCTTTTAGTAAACACTTATTTTACCATACAGTCATGCCCTATTGCTATTCCTGGCTCATTCAGGTCAGCTTAACTGTTGAAAAGAGCAGTTTGTCTTGAGAAAATCCCATAGGCACGCTCACGTTGTCATCGACACAATGCACAAACACAAACATAATGCCTCTTGCTGTCAGTGTCACTGCCGTTTTTTCTCTTTGAACTGCTATCAACATTATTTGAAGCACCTCTGTCTTTTAAATCTCACCATCTCTCTCGGTCCCTCTCAATTTCTTCCCTTACATAGTGCTTCTAACTCTGCTCTATAGCCCGTGACCTCTCAAGCCAGCGGTCCGCCCACCTCGTTCGGACTGTGGCCCTGAGATGGCCCAGACCGCTGCCCTAAAGCCTGGGGAGTGGTTGTCCTCTCTGGAGCACAAAAGAGCCACGGCTATCCGCTCAGCCGAGCCCGGCCCCCATGAACTCATCCAAGCGCACAGGGAACACATTAGCTTAGGCTGGGCTTTGTACGTCCGACTTTTCTCATGTGCTTCTTCATATAGCTAACACTTCAAGACCGTCAGGTGTCTGTATGGTTTGACCACTCCAGTTGCTCTCAAAGCGGTCAGCATTGCAATGCCATCTCGGTGTCAGGTCTTGTTGCTCTCCCTGTTTGCCACTCAAGCGAGAACGGCACAAAGCGGATCGCTCATTCTAAGTGTTTCTCTGGGCTTCTCTTACATAGTATGAGGTAATCGCAAATAATCAAAAAACCAAAGCCACGGTCTCAAAGACTTACCCTTTTTCTTCCTCCCTCAGGAAAGGAGTTCCCAGCCTCTTCCAGGGAGCCGCCCAGCCTGCCTTAGACCATGATACAGGCGAGGAGAAGAGTTCAGAAGCGGATCGGAGTGACCTTGAGGTATGACCTCATGTGGTTTCATAACAAATCAATTGTAAATTCAAGACCTACAAAGCTGCCTTTCAACATATTCTGCCATTCAGATTTTAGCGGTTGATAAAATGTCTTAATTTATTTAAAAGATGTCCCTTATGCACACTAAGGCTGCGTTTATTAAAAAAAAAACAGTATTTTGGAGTTTATGGCAATGTAATTTAACTGGGTTACACTATATTTAAAGGTTGTTAAAGTGTAATTATATATTTAAGTACTGAGTAATATTAATTAACTACATTACTACTTACTATACACTAAACAAAATCATTATTTGTTATCATAACATTTTTTCTTCTGTCAAATCAACTTAGATAATTTATGTGGTTCAGATAACATAATATTTTGAGTTTCTGATTATTAAATCAATCTCCTTCATTGTATTAACTCAATTTTTCAATTTCAATGAACTTAAAGTTTTAAGGCAACCAGTTTCATTTTTTAAGTTAAACCAACAATATTTTTTTTTTATACATTTGTAGGGTTAGGGTAGGATTATGATTGGGTTGAGGGTTAGTTGGATGTAATATATAATATACTGTTATTACTATGGTACGTGGTGGTGATGGTGCAGTGGATAAGACATGCCTTTGGTGTGAGAGACCCGGAATTCGAATCCACTGTGAGACACCAATGTGTCCCTGAGCAAGACACTTAACCCCTATAGTTGCTCCAGAGGTGTGCGACCTCTGACGTATAGCAATTGTAAGTCGCTTTGGATAAAAGCATCAGCTAAATTAATAAATGTAAATGGAAGTACATGTAACATATGTAGTAAGGACACTAGAATAAAATGTTACCAATAACAGTTTTCTTTTTGAATCTACTTTACAATGCTATTTATAACGACAATTGCAAAGCTGAGTTAAAGCTCAAGCAAAACAGCCTTTTCTCCAGTCTTCAGTGTCACATGATCCTTCAGAAATCATTCTAATATGCTGATTTGATTCCCAAGAAACATTTAGTATTATTTTCACTGATGAAAAGATTTGTGCTTTTTAATATATTAAAACCATGAAACATTCTTTTCAGGATTCAGAATGCAAAAGAATAGCATTTTAAGGTTGTTTTTTTTTGTTGTTGCTTAGGCTAATACAAATATTAGAAAAGTATTAGTATTAGAAAATCTGAAATATCTCTCAGATATTTATAATGCAGGTAAAAATAACTGAAGCAGTATTCTTATATTCTGTCCATTCTTATATCCGTAAAATAGTAAAAATCATAATAAACCTAAAGCATACTTTAATGCAATAATTATTGTATAATTATTTAAAATATTATTTGTTTTTATCTTTAATTTTAGTGACTTGGATTTTACGTATTGCAACAGTTTTGAATGGCTTAAAAGTTCTTTACATCAAGAAAAACCCTTTCAATGAACTCTTGATGATATTAATGAACATGTATTGTGTTTCAGCTGTTTAGTCTGGTGAAGAGTGTGGTGGCAAATCATTACAGAGATGTACTGCGAGAGTTTGAAGAGCTGGATGAGAAAAACACCAGACGTCTCACTCAGGAGGACATGTACCAGTTATTTAAAAGGTGACATAGAAAAACATTCTCCATGTTCTAAAGATTTTATTGTGATGCAATTGGTTACAATATAAACCTTAATATTTAACACTTGAGCATAGTTTAATAGTAACAGCTCATGTGACAGTGAATGAATGCCTAAATATATCAAATTATTGATTGATCTGTTTTCAGACGTCTTTATTATGTCTATTAGCATTTCAGTTTGTTAGTCAGTACATCAGAAGATTATCTGGGGAACATATATAGTTATCTCCAACACACACCCACACACACACACTCTCTCTCTCTTTCACACACACAGGCTATATGCTGGAATGTGGAATGCATTCCTCCTCATTGTCTTTAACACCATGCCGAATCACCGAGTCTTTCTCTGCATGTTCAGTCCTGGGTTTCTCCCAGAGTCAGCGGTCGTGACACAAGCATCCCTTGTGTGTCTCACAAGAACTATGCGGTCCACCCGAGTCTCCCAGCTCTGGTTCTTACAGAGCCTCTTGCACTCTTTTGTCTTCTAAGACAATGCCAACGGAAAGCAGTCTTTTCTCTTGGCAAATGATGCCTTAATTGTGCAAGTTAACAACCTGCTCTTTTTTTTCCCATGAATAACAATATATTTGGTGTACGGAGCCTGAGTGAGCTGCTGGCACGGTGAAGATCTGAAGCTGTGGGTTTTTCTATGGCCTACTGCACGCTTGTTTAGCTGTTCCCATGCCTGCTTCACTTTCAGCTTCATTGCTGTACTGTGTATCTCTGTTGTTCCTCTAATTAGGGGTGCTTGCAACCATTATTATTATAGAGTGGTGCAAGGATGACGTCAAAACCCGGAAGACTAACTTGCCACTGCTTTCTCTCGAGATTTTGCTATGGAGTCTTATGATGGGAATTTTAATTTTGAGTATAATAAAGCCTGTGGTAAGCATATACGATACTTTGACATTTTGTGCGACAACGAAAACTGCACACACTCACACCTCAAATGTTCTTATCTAGTTACTTATTAGAAACATAGGTTTTTAAAATACAAATTACAGTTTTTTAATATTTTTTAATACAATTTCTGCTACATGAATTATACTTTTTTTTTTTTTTTTGCTTAGTGGACAATAAAACCAACAAACCCATAGACTTGAAAAAGGGACCCCAGTCATATCTAGAGATCAAAATACCACAGTAATATGGCTTTTTTTTAGATTTCATAAACGCACTAGAGGGCTAGTAAGTAACACCCCAACTACAACTTTTCAACCACCCAGAACATATTGCTAACAACCACTCATAAAACGGCATATTTATGTAATCTCCTTAAAAAAATAATTCCAGCTGTTTTCATCTCCGTTCCACCAGATGGCTCTCTTAGGGTTTTTACTGAGTTGGGGAAAAAAGCCTTCTCTTACCTTGCACCATTGTCCTGGAATAATTTGCAAAATTTGTGATCTAGATGATCTAGTTCCATTAAATGAATTTAAGGCCATGTTAAAATGCCATATAACTCAAAAAATGTAACTGCCAAATGTGAGTGTAACTGGTGTGCCATCTTGGCCAGTTCTCCCTCAGACTTTCTGGTTAAATAAAGGTTAAATAAAATAAAAAGTAACTCCTATGCCTTGGCAACCACTCAAAACACAGCCAGACAGCATATTTTCTTCAGTGTATATATATATATATATTTGTTTGTCTTGATATTTTAATAAAATACTATCATTTATATTTTGTGGGTTATTCATTAAAAATAAAACTTTTTATACATATTTTTCAAGGTAACAACTGATTTACACTTTATTTAGATATTTATTCCACTTTAGACATTTAACTACGAGTAACTTTACAACTAATTATGTTAAATAATTCTTGTTAATTAGCAACTGTCAACTAGGCTAACTCTCATTAGAGTATGAGTAGAATGTTACGTTCGGATTAGTAGAATAAGTTGACAAAGTTACTTATAGTCAGTTGAATGAATTGCGTTTTTGCATTATGTAATTAATCTTTTAGTGAATCTGTGATTCATCTATTTTTATATCATCCCTCCACCCTTGTCTCTTTTCCTTTAACTTGTCATTTCCTGTGGTTTGCCTCTCTTAGGTATTACTCTCTTTTTTCAGTCTGTTTGCTGGATGCGTTGTTGTGGTGAACCGAGTTAAGCGTCCTGAACTCTTCTGAACTGTTTACCCCATGTGAGAACCTCCATTTCTATAAATTATTTATCTGTTTATTTACTCTCCTCCCTCCCCTCCCTGTGCTGTTTTTCCAGCTCTTCCTTTGACCCTTTTGTGATTTCTCTCCCACCCTTTTTTATTCTTTTTCTACATCACCCTCTTTTATCTCTCTATTCATTTTTTGGCTGGAATATGGCGGCAGCCCTAAAAGGAGTCGTGGTCTGAATGGGGGGCATCGCGAGTGGATTTGCATAATCTGTGGCGTGGCACTGGTGCACAGACACAGAGAGAGACGGTGCCAACCAGTCCAAGGTGAACTGAACTCTCCTCGCCAGCTCAGAGATTAGTGACACTAACAGGCTTTACAGCAGCCGAGTTCACAGAGGGTTTGGCTGACATATCAGTGCCAACTTCTCTGGCTCCCACAGTGAACATTGTGTTTGTGTGCGTGTGTGTCTGGTGAGAAACTGTTGCTTCTTTGATTGATTCCTACAAGGCAGAGACAAACGCATACGTGTATGTTCACACGAATTCTGTGCGCACATATTCAATACAACAAGGCCCAAACTGAACTGACGAAACCTACTGAGGCACTAGAAAATGTTAATCCTCTAGATCAAAGTATATGAAACAATAACTTAAGAATCATTATTTGGTTCATTTTTTTTTTTTTAAATGTCAAAGTGGTTTCAGAATATCTACCAAATGCAGTTCTACCACCTTTAAGTCAGACTTTAATAATGCAAACTGTTGGGGAGGACATGGATAATTGCAGCTTCTTGGGTTTTGCTTATTTAAGGTGTGGTCACAATAGAGAAATTTAGAAATTTCTCTGGCAAAAAAGTACCATTGTCTGTATGAGGCACAGCTCACACACAGAAGTCACTTTCAAACCAATCATCTTTTAGTTGTTCAGCGTGGCAAATTCATGTGACCCACTTGAACCAGTTTTGAAATCTTTTCTCTCACAGCAAAATTTCTGATCTTTTAGATTCTATTTGAAATGACTGGAATTCACCACACCTTTAATGTTTAGTACAAAACTTTCGGTTACACTTTATTTTAAGGTGATGGTTACATTTCTCAAATAAGTACTGAATAATATTACTATAATATTATATTAAATTAACATGTACGTACTATACACTTATGATTATGGTTAGATACTTACAATTATACATCATTTACATCATTTATTACAGTACTTTAGTACATTCATAATGTGTAACTACATCACCTTAAAATAAAGTGTGACCAAACTTTCAAACACATTCAATAACACAATATAATTGTAACTATATTATGTCTATATATGTCAGTGAATGAAAAAGCTTTATAATAAGGATATATTGTAAATGTTAGTCAATACATAAAATATCCTTAAAAACTATAAGTACATATACTCAGATTATGAAAGATAGGCATTAATAATGACCTCAGTCAAACAGGACAAAGAAAGAAAATATTGGCTGCTGAAAATTCAGTTTTGCCTTCACAGGAATAAAACGACATTTTAAAAAATATTCAAATAATAATAATTAAAAAAATATATATATTATTTCCACAGTATTGCAATTTACTATATTTTTGGTCAAATAGATGCAGCCCTGGAGAGCCTAAAACTTGTTCCAAAACATTATACAAGTCTTACCAATCCCTCACTTTTGAATTGGGTGTATTAAACTATACATGTACTGTGTAGTTTATAATATACATACATCCTTTAAAGCAGAATAACTATTTAACACAAAGAATAATTGTATTTTTTTTTAAATAAAAGTACGTACTTAAAACCCAAATGTAGCCTACATTTTTCTTTAAATATACATGTTTAACATAACAGACAAAGATCAGGGTTGTATGATATAAGTGTTTGTTTGCTGACAGATCCCCTCATAGTGCGTCTTCTCACAGTACTGTCCTTTCTTTAAGCGTGACACTGTGTTTATATATCTGTGTGAGAGAAACTGTTCCTTCTGTGCTGTTTGTTGCCAAGTTTTAGCTTAAATGCTGTTCAAATAAAAGGGATGAGGGGGTCTTTAGGGTGTGGGGGGTTTAAAGGGTACAGTGTTTGTATTCTTCTAAGACAGCGAGGTGTATTCTTTAGATTCAGATTATCATCTCTCCCTTTCCCCCCTCCCATCATTGATTCCTCTCCCCTTGTTTGTCATTCTTCCTCTCACCATGCTCAGGTTAGCGCTCCGTCCTGAGGTGACTCGTGGAGATGTCCGGAGGTTGTGGTCCTCTTTGTTAACCCAGCAGGATGGAACTGTGGACTTTCAACAGTTTATACGTCATTTTGGCCCATCGCCCAAATCCTGCTGTTACCCCAATGCCAAGCACAATCCCCCCAAACGTGGAGACAATGACTTCATGCGCCTCTCTAAAAGACTCCACTGCGTCTCAGATATACTAGTGGATGCTCTACGGGCCAAGGTGGGGGCTTGCTGTCAAAAAACCTCTGTAGTGGTGTAATGTTCTTTACCTAAAAGAGCTGAGATATATGATTATGCTATTTAGACCATTTTCTGAACCTTTTTCTCTCTTGCTCTCAACAGGTGGAGTTGTCTGTTTCTGAGCTCTGGACTGAGTTCTCCGAAATGGATTTTTCTGGAACAGGCTTTGTTAGCAGTGATGAATTTAAAGAGATTCTTATGAATCTCTGTGTTCATCTCAGCCAGTATGAGTGCGATTTACTGGCCAGGAAGTTTGACATCAACCATGATGACAGGTAGATACTCTTGCACACAAACAAACATTATGGAGGATCAACCCTGCAATTAGTAGATTAATAAATAAATCAAGACATATACTGTAACACATTACTTGAAGCTTTTATATTTTATAAAATATTTTTAATGCATTTATTAAGCCTTGCATGAAAATATATGGTCAGAATATAAACAATGTTAAGAATATATAATAAATGATATAATGATCTATTCATAAAAGGCTTCAAGTAAAGTGTTACAAAATCAAAAATCATAAGCCAATATATCCATTATACAGTAATACATCTAAATGGTTTTGGATCAAGCCTATCAAACCTAAATATTTAGAATGCATTTAAAATATATTTTATAGAGATTTCACATTCATTGACTGAGAATTTCATGTCCTCAAGGAATTTGTCATAAATGTGTTTTCTTCTGTCAGTGTATCCTACATAGAATTCCTTAGGCCTTTTCTATACCAGGGCCATGTATGGAAGCATGGGTCCAATATGGCAGCTGTTCTGCAGACTCCCAGAGAAACTAAAGAATCTGTTACTCTTGAAACATTAAGTCACAGGATCAGGAAAAAGGTGATGAATTGTTATTTATAGGTGATGATATGTGTGAATGCATGTAGGAATATTCACATTTTGCTTCTGTTTTGTTGTTGCAGCTCCAACGTAAGACCAAGGCTCTTAGAAAGGCCTGTGCCCGGCTAGATGGCTCCAGCACTGGGCTTCTGTCTGCAGCTGATCTGGGTGCTGTACTACAGCTGTGGGGAGTGTGCCAGAGCCAGGAAGAGCTGAAAAGTGTGTTCTCTACCCTTCACACCCACCCTTCTGGACGCCTGGATTACCGCCCGCTCCTAATGGACAAACACAGGACATCCAGTCATAATCAGCAGACCAAACACCACCTCAGCCAAAGGGGTCAATAGGTCAGAGGTTTATAAGAAATGATGGCTACATTGGCTTTAGGAGCTTTCACCACACTACAAAGAGAGATGGAAGTTGATATTTTAACTAATCATATTAACCCTATTGCTTCATGTAGGCATAATCGAAGTTACAATCATGCTGTAAACATGTTTAAAACACCTGTTTGAAAACTACTTGCTTGACTCGAAAAAAGGAAAGAAAAAAACTTCCAAAAAAGAAATGGCTAAATCGTGGTCAGTGGACGACGTGCAGACATTCCTCTAGTTGATAAACTATAAGGATCAGTCTATAATAATATAATGTATATTTAAGCCCTTAGTGCTCTCAGTTCATGGTTATCAACATCAAGGTTTCATGTGTAAAGTGAATTTTCTCTTTGCTTATTAAAGGTGCCATATGTAATAATTGAGGTAACAATATACGAAAAATGAGCTACACGCATCAAAAGAATGAGAAGAAATAAGTGCAAAGATGTCATTAAAAAACTGACAAGTTATAGTGCTGCCGAGATATTAACCTGAATTAGCATGCTAAATTACTAGCCCCGGCCCGGCAGGTATCGTAATACCAGTTCCGGCCATGGGAGGCGGTATGCGGACGGGCAACGTTAGCACCAGCCAAACTGCAATAGACGAGTGAGTCGCGCTCGCGCCGGCTTGTGTGTACTTGAACCTGATGTCAGTCGTGTGGAAATACAGCCAATTACTACATTTCAGTTCAGGGAAGAGTTCAAAAAATGATTGGTCGACATTATGCATGAGGAATACATTTTGGTAAGTTGTAGCATACTGTATCTTTCACCAGTGTTCGTGTTCTTTTTCCAGCTAGTAGAGACGATCGGTTCACGTGCGCTAGGGATCTGTAGTGTAACATGTACAAGCGCCAAAACGGTATTTATTCTTTGAATTGCGTAATATAATTGACAGAATCTGAGAGCTTAACTAACCTGCTTGCTAAGTGTCAATTGCGTGTGTCTCACGGTGAATTCACGGCGCTAGCTTGATCAACATCAGCGAATGCTGTCTGTCAAATTAATTCACTAACAATAAAAGTGTAATATGAACAAAACGAATACCATAAACTTCAAATAATTGCCCAAGCTTTTATTTTCCCATACCGTCGAAATGCACCAGCTTGTTTTTGAGATCTATGAGGCGGTCTTCATCATTTAGTGTTGAGATTCATAGTGTTTAGTTTAGTTCACTCTAGTGTTTAGTTCATTGAGTCTCTGATCTCTAAAAATCTCCAAATGTTCCACGTGAAACTGCGGTCTTCCAACCTTTTACTATCATGTCAAATGATTTGAATAACATGCGCGATGGTAGGAGCACAAGTCATTTTTTGGAGGTATACTGCCCCCATCTGTTATGGAATATGGAGTAGGATTTGATTTATGATGTTAGATGGCACCTTTAAAGACTTTGTATCCTTTGTATCATTTAACCTGCATAATGCGTAATTTTTTTAATCTTTGGATTCTATACACAGTATGAACCCTGAGCCATTTAATAAAAATGGAGAAATGGACAAAGCAGCTGCGTTTTTTGTCCTTGCCCTTGAGTGTCTTCCTTTGTTGGATTTCTCTGCCCGGTTCTCTGAGTTTGTAGCCTGGATACCATTTTTTGGTCAGGAAGTTCCAACGCATTCTCATCCCAAAGCGCCATATACAACGCTTTTGCAAAAGCGTAAATATCCAACGCACATGGCACCCTTTAACGTCTAATGAGACGCTTCGGTTATGGTTAAGTTTAGGTATGGTGTAGGGTAAGGGTTAGACCACTAGGGGGCGCCTTCTGCCCAAATATATCTGCGTCTCATTTTACGTTAAAGGGTGCCATGTGCGTTGGATATTTACAATCAATCCATTGAGGAGTAATTATGATCGGTTCAGAAATCGTCGGGCCAATCAAATTGCCAGGGCGGGCTTTAAGTGATGATGGACAGACGATTTGCAGTTGGGTAATCATCACATATCAGAGCGCTTGGGTTAAACTGGTTTCCCTCAAAGATGACTGTAGCTGGAGAATGTATAGAATCTGCAATCGTGTCTGTTGACAGCGCATTAATTTTAAAAGATGAACAGAGAATTGCAATTAAGGCATTTGTCGATCGGAAAGATGTGTTTGCCGTCCTTCCTACGGATTCGGCAAAAGTTTAATTTATCAGCTGGCTCTGATGGCCGCTAAAAAAATGGGACGCAATGAAAACCCTGTGGTCGTTGTGGTTTCTCCTTTGGTCGCACTCATAGAGGACCAAGTAAGAGAAGCAACACTCCTTCCAGCGTGCATACAGTTGAGTCCTGTTGACAACTATGCGTAGCTCAACATACGTCACTTACTGCGTTTCCCTGCTTGGTTGTTGGTGTACAATTGAGTGCAGAGGGTTTTTTTTTCCCTGGTACGGTTAAGACACGCCTCATTATTAAAGCCCTATATGGAACAGTATCAGACTCACATTCTGACTAGAATATGATTATGACAAAGTCAGGCAGGCTACTGAGTTAGCCTAGCACTCCTGGATGAAGACACATTGAAATCTATTTGGAAGATAAGCTCCGCTGGACCTACCCGATCATTTTAGTTGGCAAGAAACCATTCTCTGTTGCCTGGAATATGTCTAACCATTATCAATGTCCTCATAAGCTTGCTAAGGACACCTCCAGCATTTTAAAAAGATTCAGATGCTAAATTTGAATCTTTGAAGTTCGCCAGTAACTTAGGGCTAGATGTTGTAAGTAAGACAAGCAAGTTATCTTCTGGTGAAAACTGCATCTCTTGAATGACCCTGTTGTACACCTGACTTTGTCTGCCCTGCGCCTGGAGCAAATTCTCCATAGAGAGCTGCAACAATGTGTGGAGTTTTGCTCTGAGGTCCACGAAATACTGAATTTCACTATGGCTATTTGAAGGCCGCTCCACCCAAGCCTCTCTAATGACATCAAGCACCCCATGGGGCTGACGACTATAGTGAAGCTTGAATGGGGAAAACCCAGTGGAGGCTTGTGGAACCTCCTGCACCGCAAACAACAGGGCCTCGAGCCATGTATCCCAAGTTTTGGCATTTTTTTTTTATGAATTTGCGAACCATACATTTCAAAGTGCATTTATATTGTTCCACCAAGCCTATGTCTGTGGGTGATGAACGCTGGTGTGAATCGATTTAATCCCCAAAAGTTCTTATAAAAGTTCTTGCTTAGTGTATGAGACAAACGGTGCCCAGATCAGTTAGAATCTCTTCGGGGATTCCCTGTCAGGAGATAATGCGAAAACCGCGCCTGCCACATTCTTTTCAGAAATGTTGCCTAACGGCACTGCTTCCGAATATCGTGTTGCATAATCCACTAAAACTAACGCAAAATGACGCATGCTGAATGTTGTAATGGCCCGATGAGTTCCATACCAATTCTCTTGAAGGGGACCTCTAACGTTATTAAACGTACAATCACACAGGTGTGATCAGTCTCGGCTGGTCCCTGGAGTGTACGATCACACCGGTGTGATTGGAACGGTCAGTGCAAATCAACTCAGGCGTTCAGCCTCGCATCCAAATACAAACTCAAAATCACAATCCAAACGTGTAGTCTCTCTCTCCCTGTTCGAGGTCTGCAGGGTGCTTATATCCCGTTTCTTCGCCAATCACTGGAATTAGAGACAGGTGTTAGTTATCATGCCCTTGACCTCCTTATACCTGCTTATTTCTGAATAAACAGTGATAGCTCACAGTTATACGATATTTCAGATTGCTGAGGGAGATCATTTGAGATGCATTGTTTCATTTTAAAATTGTCAATACTCAATAGGGATGCCCTGATATGAACATTTCAGCTGATACCGATAATTCATTGTTTTGAAAGCCGATAACGTACTCGGTTACTAATGTAACCTCCGTTCCCTGAGAGTAGGGAACGAGTATTGCATAGCTAATACGCAGTGGGGAAACTCCTTTCCTCGAGAAATATTGAAGCCTATATTTAAAATGCAGTGCAGCTACACAGTGACCACAGCAGAGCAAGCTCACCCATTGGCTGTGCTGCAGCAACTGTACACCCTATAGTCAAGCGGCTCAGACACGCGAACCAATCAGGTGATTCTGTGCCTGAGCAAATCAGAGCCTGACAGAATGAGTGCGGCTTATGGCTATGAAAGCTCAGCTTTCTGCCATAAAATCAGGTTAAACCGACTGAAGTGACAGACTCTGACCGATTGCAATAGTGCGGCAGGCCACACAATATCGTTCCCGATTACATTCCCTTTCAAGAATGGTCACTTCGTATTATGGCTAATATGCATTGGGGACGCAATGTAACATGCAGCACTATTATATTAGCAACTGACTCCATCTCAACTGGAGCCTAGGGAAGCAACCTGAGGTTCACAGAAGACACACGCCATTAATAATAATAATTAAAAAACAACAACAGAAGGGACAGGAACCAGACCTGACTTGGGTCCCATAATCTAAGAGGGGCAGGAGCACCTGATATCAGGCTAGCTCTTCTATGAAAGAAGATACAGAGAGAATACTCCAATCATATTTCAAGCAATTCAAAACCATGGTGAACAGTCACATTTAACAAATGTTGTACATACCTGTGGTCATCTGAAATGTCTCAGCTGAAGGAAATAGTCCATTATTTATTGGCTTTAATATATTGGCCAAAAAATCAGGCTGATAACGATAATGTTACGAACTCTTACGACCTAAGGCCAGATAAGTTAACAGTGAGGTTGTGATTCACATTGAAGAGGTGACGTCACGCCATAGATATTGGCAGCTCTCCCAGCCAACAGCAGACCAGTGGTGGAGCGAGCCTTAGAATGTGTGTGTGAGAGAGAGAAAGAATCATCCACGCACAACCACAGGGATGTAACAGATAACATAAAAAATTATTATATAGTTGTATTGATATAGTGGCTGATGTATCATTCTTGACAAGCATATTTTGGTCAATTTGGTCTGTGTAGGCCTTCTGGGCTGATTTCATATACTCATATCAGTTGTGAGAGTGTCAATCATATTGAGTGCACATAGAACATTAATGTGTTATACCCTGTAGCATCAGATTTTTCGTTTAGACAAGACCCAAAGTTATCTTAACACAATTTCTTGCGTATAAATAAAACTTTAGATGAGAATTATTTTTGGGCTCCTTTTCTTGGCATATTAAGATA